TATGGAGCTGACTCCATACGAAATGGTAAAGTGCTTGCCATGCAAGCATGAAGACCTGAGTTTAGATGTGCAGCACCCACGTTGTGGTAGTTTGAATGAAACTGGCCCCATAGGCTCATAGGGGAAGGTCCTATTAGAAGGTGTGGCTTTGTGGAGTAGGTTTGACTTTGTTGGGTGAAGTGTATCATTAGGGGTCTTAAGTGTGACAGTCCCTTCCTGCTGCCTGTGGATCCAGATTTAGAACTCTCCATTCCTTCTCCAGCACCATGTCTGCCTGCCTGCCACCATTCTTCCTGCCATGACAATAATGAACTAAACCTCTGAAACTGTAAGGCAGCCCCAATTAACTGTTTTGTCTGTCTCTTCACAGCAATAAAACCTAATGAGACACATGCAGATTTGGGGATATGGTGGTGTGCTTGTATAAAACTAGTGCTGGGACTGTGGCTGATTAATCTCACTGAACCAATGAGTTCCGTGTTCGGTGAGACACCCCCTGTCAAAGAATAAGAGGAAGATACTTGACATCAGACACCAACTTCTGGCCTCCCCATCACAAAAAGACGCACATGGGTGTACACATTCAAATCTATACTCATAGACATCTCCCGCCCCAGGAGGATTGTTAACCTGTGATTCACAGCAAGTCCAAGGCCCCTAGGTTAAAGAGCAATAAATACCCTTTCACAAAGGTAAAACAAGCAAAAACCAAAAAGGTAGGCCCATATTCCCACCACCTGGCCCTCTGGTCTTATAAGACCCACTGTAATTACCTCATCCTGTTTTGATTACATATGTAAAGAGCCCATTTCCAAGATGGGCATTGGTGGTGTCTGCCTTTAATCCCAGCACATGGATGGCAGAGGTAGGAGGATCTCTGTGAGTTCGAGGCCAGCCTGGTCTACAGAGCAAGTTCTAGGACAGGCTCCAAAGCTACACAGAGAAACCCTGTCTCAAAAAACCAAAACCAAAACCAAAGGGAATCAGGACTTTAACACATCTTTTGGGGGCCACAATTCAATCCATAACTGTAACACATGTTTAGTGCATGGTTCAGTATTCATTTTTAAGTTCTTCGTGAACAGAGATGTTTGTCTCATCATCTCTGTACTCCCAGGCCTGAGGAGAGAAGCGGACATGTTACAGCTGCTCAGAGACGTGTTTAAACAAATGTGTTCAGATCCCAAGCCCTCCATGTGTTTACTTCTCTATTCAACCCCAAGTCCCTCTCTCCTTGTGAGTCACCAAGTGTCTTCTGAAATTCCACGTAACTGAACTGGCCAGTCTTACACTTGCTGGCTATTATCCCCACAATGAACCAGAACACTGCCATTTGTTCCTCAGACCCTAATAAAATCCTTTGGAAAGTCCCCCTAGCATTCTCTTCTAGCAGCTTTTTTTTGGGGGGGGGTTAACAATTTTTTTAATTAATCTATTTTTTACATTCCAATTCACCCTCTTTCTTCTCCCACTCCCCCTACCCCTCCCATCTCCTGTCTGCTCCTGGGAGAGGGTAAGGTCTTCCCTAGGAAGTCTAAGTCTGTCCTATTATCTCCTTGAGACAGGACCAAGGCACCTCTCTACCCCCCACACACCCCTATATTTAGGCTGAGCAAGGTATCTCTCCATATAGAATGGGCTCCACTAAGTCAGTTTGTGCATTAGAGTTCGATCTTGGACCCACTGCCAGTGGCCTCATATATTGTCCCAGTCACACCATTGTCACCTATATTAAGGGAGTCTAGCTCGGTCTTATGCAGGTTCCCCATTTGTCAGTCCTGAGTCAGTGATGTCTCACTAGCTTGGGTCAGCTGATTCTGTGGGTTTCCCCATCATGGTCTTGACTCCTTTGTTCATATTAAATATGGAACCCTTCATGAATTTGCATGTCATCCTTGCACAGGGGCCATGCTAATCTTCTCTGTATCGTTCCAATTTTAGTGTATGTGCTGCTGAAGCGAGCATTCCAGTAGCATTTTTAATCCATTCTCCAAATTGCAACTTGAGTAAACACTAAAATGTAAATCTTATATGCAATTTTATTATTTCAAATCCATCTTCTCACCACATGTGAGAAAGATTGGAGTTTTCTGAATATGCCTTCAAATGTTCTTGATGGCCTGGGCAACACTTTTCCTTTTCAGCCCTTCTCAACTTCCCTTCTTGCTCTTCAGGTACTCGACTTAATGACATTTTCAATATTTATTTTCGTATGTTTAAAGAAACCTTATAGTTCTTTTTTTGACAGTTTCATATATGTATATACACGTAGATCATATTTATGCCCAATAACTTCCTTCCCAAAAACATGTCCCCTTCCCAGGTTCATGTTCTCTCCTGCTGTCTTTTTGTAACCCATTGAGTCCATTCAATGTTGCTGCTGGAATATTGACTGATCTTCTGGGTTTGACTTGATCGTGTGCAGGTCTTGTGTGGAGAACTATAACTGTAGTGTGTTCATGAGTGCTGCAGCCATGTTGTGTTCAGTGTTTCCCAGCACTCTCCTCCAATCCACAGCTCTTCCACAATGTTCTCTGAGCCTTAGGATGAAGGTGGTATTAATGTAGATGTCCCATTTAAGGTTGAGCACTCAACTACCATTTATTCTCAGTACTTTGACCAGTTATAAGTCTTTTCATTAATTTCAGGAGGTTTTTTGGTGAAGGTTGAGAACATCATTAATCTATGAATGTATTGTAAATGTTAAAAGCCAATTTGTTAACATAACAATTTAGTAAAATAGCAGTAGTAGGTTCCTCCCTAAGAACTATGACCTGCTGAGCCATGGGGCTTTTGGCAAGGTTGAGAGTACCAGGCATGAATTTCTTTCTGTGGATCAGACTTCAGATCCAATCAGAAAGCAGTTGGTTTCTCCATAACTTCCATTCTACTGTGCATTAATGGGCATATCTTGTCTATTAGATTAGTACTGAGTGGTACAGTTGGTGAGTTTTCTCTCCCAACAGCCTGCATAGCACCTTCAAGAATTATGAAAGCTATACAATAACTTACCACCACCACCACTACTACTACTATTATTATTGGAGAGCTTTGAATATGCTATTTCCTCTGCCTGGAATGCTCTTTCTAGCCTGGCCTGGTTAACTCTCACATATCTTCCATATCTTGGCCAAAGTCTCTCTTTCTCCAGGAAGTCTAGATGATGCCCTTCCCAGATTACTTGGATCCCACTTTTGTTAGTGTAACCAGGATAGGGTCTTTGAGGCCTCAAGTTTTCCTTTTGTAAAACAGCATTGCTTGTGTGATGTCTGTTTTTCCTGCCACAGAGCCAGGGCCCATGCCTATCTGTTTGTCACTCTGTGACTACTCATTGCATTATTTAGAAGACCTCCAAATGTTCCTTTTGCATTCTTTTCTATTTTTCCTTAAGACAATGGCACATCAGTGTAATGTCCTCCAAATTCTCTATATTCACCAAGAGCTGATTTGTGTTATACTGTGACGACCTAAGTTTTCACTCTTCATTCAGCAAATACTTATAGGGGTCCCTTTGCTCAGGCTCTTGGCTGTGGGTCTAGCATAAGAAGGTGGACATACTAGAGTCTGCTTTCTTGAGGGACCCACATGCTAGCTGGAAGGACAGCTCCTTAGATTTTAAGGTGTGTTATATCATGACAGACCCTGATAAGGAGATCTGTGCAATGTATGGAGATGGCAGACAAGGGAGACAGGACTCTAGTTAAATGGGAGCGTGTACCTTGCTCTACCTTATCTAAGTTGTTGTATGGTCTTAGAGTCTGTGATTTCAACTTTATATGTATTTTCTATATTAAAATGTTTTGAGATTTTTCCATCTCTATCTTTCAGTGACAATTGTAAAGTTAAGAATAGACCTGGAGGCAGGTAGACTTGAATTTCAACTTGGAGACCATGTTTTATTTTTCAGAAGGGACCAGAAAAGAATGTATACATTTAAAAATAAAAAAAAAATGTACTCATGCTGGGATTAACTGTGATAGATGCAACCTTTTATCCTGGTACCTGGCAGGAGGCAGGGATTTAAGGGTTTGGCTGTTGTCTGTTTTATATTAATGGTAATAAGAAATGTGTTTATATTGAGATTTGTAAACCAAGAAATCATAAATGAGGTTAACAGTGAAGTAAAGAAAGTCTGTGTGGGTTCAGAAAAGGTATGCCACTAAGCAGACAAAGGCTCAGTGAGGCAGGCAGCTGAGCTTTCTGATGGAGGAAGGTGGGCCGAGGCATTCACCACATCAGAATCCAATAAGCGACTGTTGTCTAGGTTCTGTGCATCCATGGAGTTACTTATGGACATGTCAAGAGGTAGTGGCCATTTGCTATTACGCAAGCTCCCTAGCCAGGTGTTGTTCACTACCCTAAAACTTGCTCCACTTGGTGGATTTTGTGTGCTAATCCTATTTCCTGTTAGCAAAGCCGTAAGGTCCAGGGAAGAATTTTTCCTCTCACTTGCCACCTGTAGCTATTTCATTTTTATTGAATTTTATATATCATACAATTGCTTAATTTATGATTGTTTTCTTTTTTGTGCTCAGATCCAATTTAGGGCCTTGTTCATGCTGGGTGGGCAAGTACTTTACTAGTTAAGTTGTATCCTTAAGTCCCTGGTTTTTTTTTTTGGGGGGGGGTAGTTTTGATACAAGTTTTCTCCATAGCTTTGGAGCCTGTTCTGGAACTCATTCTGTAGACCAGGCTGGCCTCAAACTCACAGAGATCCTCCTGTCTTTGCCTTCTGAGTGCTGGGGTTAAAGGCTTGTGCCGCCACCACCTGGCAAGTCCCCGATTTTTTAAAGATAATGTGATTTCTCTATTTGAAGGCAGTCTAAACATTATAAAAACACAACACAAAGATTTCTTTAAAAACATATAAATTAGCAATTTATTGAGGTAAACGTATACATTCCAAGAAATAATCTGAGTATGTAACAGAATATTCAGATCAAATAGATTTTTATATTATCATTTTAAAAACTATTACATATAATATTTCAAGTGACACTTCATAAAAATTATATAAATATTAATCATAAATTAACTTACAGTTTACATATTTAAATTATCAATAAATTAAAAATAATTAAAATAGTGTCCCAGCATTCATACTGTCAGTTCTTCGTAGAGAACAACATAAGGCAGATACCCAATGACAGGATATGTTTCTGACCGTAGTGAGTGTCCACAGATCCGTACGCTTAGGCACAGCACACTAGTTTTGCCGAGTAGACCTCATGGTGACTTTTAGGAATTCTTCAAGTGCTTTCAGGATGAGTTCGATAGTCTTGGTCCTTGGCCACTCCTTCTGTGACTCCAGCTTCTCCATTAGGAGGGCCTTGGAAGTTGGGCAAGGCGTGACTATTTTACCTGGATCCTTTACCTAATGGTGTGGGGAGGAGAAAGACTGGTTAAATACTGTACACATTTTTTTTGTGGGGTGCTCTGGACTATGGGAAGATTTCCAAACTTAGGATGAATGAGGCTATTTGGTCCCATCTGCCCTGACTCACCCAAGCTAGAGGGGGTGCTTTTGCTTCAAGCTCACTCTTGAGAGGGACCTATGCATAGCACTTCCTTCCTCCCTCCCTTCCTTCCTTTCTTTCTTTTTTTTAATCAAAGTGATTATTAGTTTTTCAATAGCAACAGAATCCAAAGATTATTAATTTTTTTTTAAATAGCAACAGTATCCTAACTTCCCCCTTACTGTTCTGTCTGCCATTAGAGAGTAGGCACCCAGAGGTCAGCACCACCATCTTATTTGTCTCTTATCCAGAACAGTGCTGACACACTCGGCAGAGGAGCCCATCCGTAAGGTGGTTCAGTGAGTTCTAAGTCAAGTGTTTTCCCTTTCACTTCCCATTCAGATTCTGTTGCGAGTCTCGGTGTGATAGCATGAAGGATGCTGGAAGCCCCTTCCATGGACACACTGTAAGGGGATGGCTAACTGGAAGGTTCGTCCCACTACTTGTGAACTGTCAGTACAGCAGAGTTATGTAAGCAGGCAGCTACGAAATGAATCTTAGTCCCCTCCCCTGACTCTAAGTCAAACTCTGATGGAACAAGACCCTGAATGGGTCCTGTACACGTTAAGCTAGGAAGAGCTCTGGTTTGAAGCAAGAAACTACAAGAGGCAGAGACAGACTTAACATCAGGGCTCCATTCCAGGCCCTCCTTACATCTGTCTTGGCTCACCCACATTCTCAACCCTCCATAGTTTCTATTTAATAGCTAGTGGTGGCCAGAAGCCCTTCATCTCCCTCCTGTCTTTTTAGCCTTTGGCTACTTCTCTGTGTTAGGATTCTAGTAGCAAGAATGTCACTTGCCAGGGATTAAATATTAAAGTAATTTTTGTGCCCTGTGCTCTTTTATAATGGTTAACTATGTTTGGATATGTTCCCTTTAGTCTGTTATATTTTTCTTATCTCTTAAGCAGTTAGTTAAAAATCTGTTTAATATGGTTTAAAGTAGTTATTTTCTTTGCAAAAGAGAGCCTCAAACCAAAACCCCAAAGTGAAACAAAACAGGGTCTTACAACAGGAGCAGTTGCTCAGACCCTCCCCTTTCTAAGGCTGATACGGAAGCAGTGCTGTAGCCTGGAGGGCCCTGTTCCCTCATCCCTTCCCACACTGCATGAGATAGGGACAAACTCACCTCTTGTTTGAAGATCTGATTTAGGGTTTTGGTGGTGCTCTGAATGACTCTGGCTTTGTCTTTCTTGTTATCTTGTACATTGTTCGTCACAAACTCCAGATAGATCTGGTAGTCCAGAAGGCCAGAGGTGATTTTCAGTAGGCAAATTTCCTATGAGTAGAGTGGGAGGGGAAATTAGTTCTCTCTAGGAGACAGACTCAATCTGAGAATAAGATTCCTGCTGTTGAACATCTTCTCCCTTTGCCCTTCTAGAGAATTGGATACCAGGCAGCATTGGCTGACATCCCTAAAATGTCTGGGCAACTGGAGGCACCACTTAATATTTTTCCCAAGGAAGGACCGAGAGTGTGGCAGTGGGCCTCTTCTGGACCCCTGCCTCTACCTATAGGGCCCTTCCTGTGCCCTTGCTCTTGTCTGGGCAAGCCCGGGACATGCTTTTAAGGAACAGTGAGACATCCATGCAGGCTATCTCACTGGCTGGAGGGAGAGGGGTATGGAGGGTGTTCTCAGTAGGGACAATGGGCTTGGATCCTTCTAGGGGCACCCAGAGAAGAGAATGGTTTCTGAACCACTGTACTTGAGATGAACTAGTTAAACTTGCTATGATTTCTAGCATCTAACAGATGTGAAGAATCCCAACGTAGTGGGACATTACCTGTTCAATGAGAAACTGCTTCTTAATCAAAGCTGTCAGTTACTTTCCTTATAATATTCTTTATATCTATTCCCCTATCTTTGTTGCCTGACTGGAACTATATGAATGCAGACACTAAACACATGCAAGAGAACTTTGGCTGAAAAATTGCTGAAAGAAAATATGACAGATTCCTACCCAATTGTATTCTGTTTGGAGGCATCCGTCATTCCTTTCTATCACCGGAAGTTCCAGATTGTTTTCTGACAATGCATCATCATACTTCATACAATCGGGATTGTTATTACACAACTGCAAAAGAGTACCAGAAAGCTCATTTAAGTCTCCGAAAGCAACACCACTAGAGGGCCAGATCATGCTCCCCACAGCCAGCAGACACTAAGAAAAAGGAAGCTACATCTTCTTGGCACTCAACCAAGCAGTCTAATAGAAAGAAACCCAAGGCTCTGTCCCAGGCTCTCCTCTGGCTTCAAGCTTGTTACTGTCCTGAGTCTGTTTCCTATCTTCAGGTAAAGAATTATTAAAGCCCCTCCCCATACATTTGTTTTAAGAATTCAATGATATAAACTGCCTGGCATATAGTAGAAATTTAGTAAATAACAAGAAATTTTGATGATATTTGGGGCAAAAAATTAAGTTACAGAATATTCCATCTGGAAGGGCCTGTGCCATCCATCATCTCTAACTCCATAATTTTGCAGATGAGAGTCCCAAATAGTAGGGAATTTCCCTGAAATCACAAAGTTGGTTCTACACACCCAGACCTAGAGGTTGGGCTCTTTATCTTCTCTCTTGTGATTTTTTTTTTCCTTTCTGTCATGCCGAGTAAAAATACTTTGCATTTAAAGATGGGAGATACTTTAATCTAGGTAGGTCTTATTTGTTTGTTTTGGGTTTTTAGGACAAGGTTTCTCACTATATTCCTGGCTGTCCTGTAACTAGATATGTAGATCAGGCTAGCCTGTAAATCATAGAGATCTTTCTTCCTCTGCCTCCTGAATGCTAGGATTAGAGGCGTGGGCTACCATGCAGCCTAATCTAGTTTTTATGTTAGCACTTTGTTGGGCTCTGTATCTGTATCTTATCTGGGTTGGCCCAAGAGAGCCCTGATCACACAGTTTGCATTCAACCAAAAAGCACAGCAACTACCCCCAAGCAACTGCAGATTCGTTTAGTGGCACTTTTCTTCCTCCCAGAGTGCAAGAGACAAATAAAGGCAAAGAGACCTTACTCTTTGGTAAGGAAAAAGGAATCCCTACCCAAGAAACAATTGCTAAATGTAGGGCTAGAATGGCCCACTGTGAATTTTCTAGAAATGCAGCCTCGTTCTGCATTTTCCAGACTGTGAATGAAACCCCTGAGACCAGCAAAAGGTAAAGAACACAGCATAGTCTGATCTTTAGCCTCAATCCTAAGTGCCCTAGAACTCAGCAGAGAATTCCCAACTCAGGAGCAAAGAGAATGAATGAACGCCCACTCTGGGCCTTCACCACTTTCACAGCCTACCCACCTCTTTTCTCATTTCGAAGATTTCCCTGAGGGCGTATGTAATCAAGCCTCCAACTTGTTGCAAAGTGGTATATACTGGTCTGTTGGGAGTGGTGTCCTCTGTGAAGTCTCCTCTCCGGACTCGTGAGGTAGGAAGGGCAGTGGTCATCACCAGCATCAATCCCAAGAAGGCAAGTGGATGGAAGTCTCCTGTGGATGGAAGGGAACCCGCGGCAAGTGAGCAGATAGCACAGCTGGGCGCCTGCTGCTGGCTGCTGGCCAGCCCGCAGCCGTCGCTCTCAGCCACACAGCGCTCTCTCACAGACAGGCTCAATAGCTCCACCAGAGGGCGAGGAACTGCCTTCACTTACTTGCGGAGAGGAACTTCATAGCTGTTCCTGGAGGGCAGATGAAGTTGACTTTCGTTCCTGGTGGGCTCCAGAGCAGAATGAGCTACAGACATCCCCAGTCTCATATTTATTGGGAGTCGACTCTCTAATTTTGAGACTCATGGGAAAATCCCACATTTGATAAAAATCTTTGTTGGAGGGTGGGGGTGGGGCCAGAGTGGGTGGGGCTGATTGGAAACCTTATTAAGATTGCACAATGTGACGTCATTTAGCACTGAAAAGAATCACAACTAGGGGGGGCAAAAGTGTGCTTAAGTCATCCTTGAGGCTAGCTCTAAGAAGCATGACCACTCTTTACTTTCTTCTTTTCTTTTTTTTTCAAAAAGGTGACTCAGCACTTTAGCACGTCTTGAGGAAAAAAGAAAAGCTGAAAGCACAATGTTTTATAAGGAGAAAAAGAAGCTGAACCTGACGTGATTTACACACACACACACACACACACACACACACTTGAAGTACTAAGAAAGAGGCTAGCATTTAGTACCCTACTTTTCTATGTTTGCAAGAACCTAAGATGTGACCTGAGTTTCTTCAGATCATACAAACCTGGGCTTACATGGACAGTAATAATACCTGTGGCATAGTGCTTGTGTTTCCTGAATCTCCTCAGGACCTGCTGTTTCCAAACGGTTTGTTCACCTCTAGATTTCCGAGTCCCCACATGGAGTGAGCAAAGAACAGAAATATTTTCTGAGCGCCATCAGGTCTGAAGGGGCATGGCTCACTCTAGGTGACCCCTCCAAGGCCCAAGTCTTCTAGGCTGGGTCAAGCTTGAATAGAACTCCTTCTTCCCTTTGCTTGTCTTCTTCTACTGGAGGGTCCCAGGCCTTCCCCCCAAGCATCTCCAGATACCTAGACAGCATTCAGAATGACTCCAGGATGAAAGTAGGTTCTGTATATAAAAAACCAAAATCATTTACAAAACACATTCTTAGCACCAGTCAGCTTCTTTACTTTGCAAAGATTGCTGGAAGATTCTTACAGCAGTGGGCTTTGCTAGGACAGTTAAAAGATTCATGGCTTTCCTCTCCCATTTGTGTATATAAAATGTTAGGTCTGCCTGTTGAAAGAGGCGAGGTCATTCATTGTTCCTCACTGTTTGAGGCCCTAGTCCTAGAGGGAGTAGGGGTTTTTAGTTTGAAAATGCAAATGGGGGAAGAAGGCAGGATGGTTTCACTTTTCATGTTCTTGGGTCTTAAAAGGACAGCTGGACCAGCCCTGTGTTGAGTCTGCACTGAAGGGAGACCCTTCCCCAGCCCTGTGTTGAGTCTGCACTGAAGGGAGCCCCTTCCCCAGCCCAGTGTTGAGTCTGCACTGAAGGGAGCCCCTTCCCCAGCTCCCTGCCATGAGCTGTCTCAGGCCTCGGTATCGTGAAGTTTCTTTTCTCCACTTAGCAAATGTTTAAAAATGACTCAATAAAATTTAGATTGTTATACTGACTACAATATTCAGGTTTCTCTTTTTAATAAAAGGGTTCTTTTTAAATAGGGGGCATGCCTGACAGTGGATGTATCCCTGGTGCTCGAAAGGACTTTGGGAGCACATTCCCCATGGAGGGATACTCCCTTAGCCTAGAGACAGGAGGGAGGGCCTAGACCCTACTCCAAATGACTTGACAGAGTTTGATGATCCCTCCTGGAAGGCCTCACCCTCCCTGTGGAGTGGGTGGGGAATGGGACGGGAGCGGGTATGGGGGGCATGGGAGGGAGGGAGAAGGAACTGAATCGATATGTAAAATAAGAAAAATAATACATAAAAAAGTGAAAAAAAAAACAACAAAAAAAAAACAAACAAAAATAAATAGGGGGCCTGCATTCATGATTAAAAAATGTTCAAACAAGACAAGGGGGGGGAGGGGAGGGGGAGCGGCCCTTTGGGTCCCATAGGCAGTGCCTAATCCCTAGTAGTTTTAGTGGAACTCTTGTCAGCCGAGTCTGGAAGAGTTTTTTTTTTCCAGCTCATATATTTATACATATATGTCTTATACATATTTATGTATAAAATACATACTTACACATGCATATACATGTAGATACACATTGTGTGTTAATGGCCTGGATGCTGTCTTTATTGCTTTTCATGGGGTTGAACATGGAGCCCACAGGCTTTTGAGTAACAGTTTGTGTTTGAATCCCAACTCTGCCATTTGCTAGCTGTTTGACACTGGCTGAGTTACCCATGATCTGTGTTCTTGTTTATTTATTCTGTAATACCAGATTGATACTAGAGCTTTACTTATAGGGCTGCTATGAAGATAAATGAGAATAAGCACTAACTTTGTAATTTTCAAGAGCTGGAACACCTCCCTCGGGGAGCCTTCCAGCATGACTGTCAGTTCCCCTGGGCCTTGCCTGTGAAGTTATTATAGAGAGCCAGCTTACCATGCTAGGCCTGAGTAAGTTTCCTAAACACTTTCTCCCTCAAGAAATGAGATTGTAGATGCTATTGAAAACCTATTATGGGGAGCTGGAGACATAGCTCGAAGTTAAGAACATTTACTTCCCTTTCAAGAGGACTTAGGTTCAGTTTCCAGCATCTACATGGTGGCTCTGAGCCATCTGTACCTCTTCTGACCTCAGAGGGCACTGAACATACAGGACGCACACACGTACATGCAGACAAGGCAGTGCTCAAACTAGATCCCTTAGTTTAGATAATTACCCGGCTTTACCTTACTCCTAGATTTCCCCCAGTGCCTTCCGCCAAGTGTTTTTATATCAGAAGGCACAGCCCATGCACGTCTTCATCCTTCACATTTCTGAGCATGGTTCTCAAGCATGAATGGTCCTGGAGACACCAGAGCTTGTGCTTTTGGCGGTCAGCAGAAGACGGTGATTCTGTCTCATCCCTTTGTATGCCACCAGCATGGATCTCTATTAGTGCCAGTGCCTTTGATTGTCATTTGCTTGTAGGAGAAATGAACTCTCTCTAAAACATTTGTACAGTAACTCTAAACTCTTTTTCTACCATTACAAATTCTTTTCTCTATGTCTAAATGAGTTTCCCACTTGAAGAACTCGGTATGTGTGTGTAGATTTTTTTTTTTTTCCTGTAATTTTAAGTTCATGGTAAATCTCGAGGAAGGCACTGATATCTTAAACTACCCTTACTTACCCCAAATACCACTCACATTTTAGTATGTATTAGTAACCAATAAAGACTAGTATACATTGCCATTGCTAACTGAAACTTGGGAGTACTTAAGCATTGCCATGAGAGAATGGAAGGGAGGGAAAGCCTGCTGTGTCCCTCAGAATTACTACTTGTATCAGCTTCTTTATTTTATTTGTTTAGTTTACTTGTTCAAGACAGGATTTCTCTATGTAGCCCCGCCTGTCCTAGAACTCACTCTGTGGACCAGGCTGGCCTTGAACTTATATAGATCCATCTGCTTCTGCCTTCCGAGTGCTGGGATTAAAGGCGTGTGCTATCACCACCTGCTGTATCTGCTTTTCTACGTGGTAATGGAATCCAAAGTTCATTAGTACATTTGAGGTGAGTGGAAGAAAAACATTTCCATTTGGTACTTAAGGTCTCCAAGAGAAATGCTTTCCACACTCTTAGGCTGTGGCAGGGAATGTGCTTTTTGGCTAGGGCTGGAGATGGGTGGGTTTGTGATTTAACTAAAGGGAATATCTCAAAGAGAAAAGAGAAGTACTGGTACTAGGGAACTTGCAGCTGCGTTTAAAATGTAGTTTCACTTGTCATCCGCAGAAGATGTTTATAAAGAGAAACAATGGGTAATTTAACAGCTTTTTCCAGGAGAGGCTCTGTGAAATGTCTTGTATTGGGAAAAGTATTGCTGTTACTTACAGAGAGAATACTATGGAGATGCATGTTGTGTCTGTTTGGAAGGCACTGGCTGATTCTGAAAGGCAGCCAGGATAACTTTCCTAAATTCTTGCCAGCTGCCAGCCAGGTCAGCCTCAGTTCTGATGCCCCAATCCTAGTGAAGCTCCTAACAACTTCTTGGTCTGGCCTTAGATTTCCCAGTGTGCAATGGGGCTAGACCTAGATTTCCTAACGCCAAGTTGAATGCACCTCTGTCCTGCTCTTTCATCTCCTCTCTGCCCTTGTTGTTTTGCTATGCATGGAGCTACCTCATCCCTAGAAAAGTCGGCTATCCCAGGCATTTTGGGAGTGGCCCTGTGGATAATGAGGAACGCTTTCCCTGCCTAGGGGCTTGTTACACCTGCTCTGGTCTCTGATCTAGATCTGCTAGGATTAATACCCCGATTCCAACATGTTGACAAGCTGGCCTCTCTGAAGTTGTGATAAATCACATTGTCAACTCTCCTCAGGGTAGGGAGATCCCTCAGGCAGAGTTTCTGTACTTGCTTCACTCTGTTGGGTGGGTTTTCAGTGACCACTGCTTGTGCTTCGAAATTGGGAAACTTTGGCTTAGAGAAACCAGTTAATTTATTCTGGCAAGTCACTTAAACCAACCTCAGCTTCTCCAAAGATCTCAGTTCTCTGAGTTCAGTGTCATGGGCAGAAACTAAGCATGCAAAGCATCAGCTTTCTCTCCCCCCGAATTAAGGTACTAAGAACCATTTGAAAGTGTCACATGTCATGTGAAGACCAGGGGATTCTTTTGGCCTGCCTGTGATGTAGTTCACCTCCCTTCCCTGCCCTTTTGAGTTATTTGCTAATGAGAGAATGTCTTAGTTCCTTTTAATAAAGCCTCATGCAAGCTGGATTCATAGAAAGGACAGGTCCTTCTAATCTTCATAGTGGACACATTTCCACAAAATACTTTGGATGTATGAAGCACTCTCCACTTCTGAGACATTG